CGGGTGTGTGCGCATGCATGCAAAAAATCGCAAGAGGAGAATAGAGAAGGGATTGTGGCATGGCCATCTCCCCCGGGGGGGTGGGGGGGTGGATTTCTTGTTTTCTCTGTTTCCCGGTGAGCACATACACCCTATATCCAAAAAAAAAAAAAAAAAAACCATAAAAAACAAACAAAAAATCTCTTTCTAAAACAAACAAACAAACAAAAAAAGAAGCAAAGAACAAAGCCAGTAAGAGACTGCAGGGAAAGTCAGGGCTCAGCCTCCGGCACAGAGGCTGACAGGACCATGCAGGGTGGGAGTGATTCAAAGGCTGACCCAGTTCTCAGCCAGGATCTGGGTCTCACACGCACAAACCAGCCACTTCCTCTGGGCCTGCCTCTGAGCTAGGCCTGCAGGAAGTGACCCTCTGGGGGCTGTGGGCAGGGGAGAGCTGGCTCCGGGTGTGGGACTTTCACACCTCACGCCAGCAGGCAGTGAGTGCTCCCCAGCCTCCCTCAGCTCTGGCTGTCTCCTGCCTCTCTACATCCGGGCTCCATCTGTGAGGTGCCCACACCTTCCATACATGTGCTCCATCTCAGCCCTGAGCAAACATGGCATAACCTGTACCCGAGCAGAAGTGCACCCAGGGCAAAGCATGGGGCAGGGGCGAGGGTTCTGGCTAAGCCTCACCCATCCAGGCTGGGCTCCTCTGGGCTGTTGGCTGACTCTGTGCCCTCCGTTCCTCTGCCCTGCCCATGAGCTTTGACTTTCCCTGTTGAAACCAGCACAGAAGCACCTCCTTCCTGGATTGCGCCAGGATGGCGTGCCTCACCTGTCTGTTCCCAGAGTACCTGCAGCCTCGCTCTGGCCTTCCCACCCTTGCTTCCGTGAAGAGCCTCAGTTGGCTTGTACACACCAGACCTGGCCTGGACTCCGAGTCCTCCAGGGCAGGGCTGCTTCCTGTTCATCTGCTGTCTCCAATGGCCCTGCACCACTGGGCATTCCACAGATGCTTCTATTTGGAGGTGACATTGTGACATCCCCTGGGGACTCTGGGAAGATATCTCAGGGACCTCAAAGTCCATGTGCCCAAAACTGA